CCTAACCCTCCTCCCATCCCCATCTCTCTCTCTCTCTCTCTCTCTCTCTCTCTCTCTCTCTCTCTCTCTCTCTCTCTCCCTCCCCGTTCGTGCACATGATGGATACAATTAATGAATGTAGGCATGCCAGAAAATCAACTGACACTTGGTATTTTACTATTTTCCAAGAAACAATTTGGATCTAACATTGGGCAGAGGGAAAAGAACTTCCTTATCAGAAAATAGGTGACAAATGGGAAATTTATGGAAAAGAGAACCATACCTGTATAGCATTCTCCCGAACCAGGGGTGACGGATCTGTACAGCGTGGAAGGTAGGCCATGAGTCGCTGCCCAAACTTGAGAGCATGTCGTTCGGGCAGGAGAGGGGTAGCTGGTCACACAGAGAGAGCAATTGAAACCCCGTTAAAAGCCATAAATATGCATGAATTAATCTCGCATCTAATCTGGACCTCTCTGCCAAATCTTTCCCATCTCACTCCTCCCTCCCTCCCTCCCTCCCTTTACACCCTTCACTCCTTCGGGCCTTCACTCTCGCCTTCCCTCCCTTCCCTCCCTCGCTGTTATATCTCTTTTCATGAAGACAAACTCGTCTTGTTGGGACCATCTTTCAAAATCCTATTTCACATGCAAGGGTGCAAGTACAAACATATTCCACTCAAAGCACAACGGCTCATGAAGGCCAGAAGCACTCCGTTTTCAATTTTTTTCCTTCATGGAAAAGGAGACTGCCTACCCCCTCGTTATTTTCCTAGCCACTGTCCCATGGAGAAAATCTGTCTTATATGTTCATCTAACAGTTTTGCTCAAGATTCAGCATATAACAAGAACAAAAAGCAGGGGATATGGACATGGAGCCACCCCAAACCACTAACATTGGACGCTGACACTGGCAAAGAGCATCAGTAGGCTCAGGATACAATGTTGGATAGCAAATACAGGATTACAAATTTAGCTTCTGTTATGATCCTACCTAGTTCTTGATACAGAAATCAAAATTGAGAGGATGCTTAGTTCCTTCCCCCTTCACCCTCCAAATTCCGCCCACTGCCCACCTCAGGCGTTTTGGTGGAGCAGCAACACTGCATCTGGGTGAATGGGGTGAAAGAGATTTTCACATCAGCCGACGAGGGTGTTCCCTCAACACACACACACGGAGAACTTGCGCGTGAGAGAGAGAGAGAGAGAGAGAGAGAGAGAGAGAATGCTGAGGACAAAAGAAAAGGGGAATGGGGGACTGTGACAGACTGTTTCTGCAGACTTTCACCAACTCTTCTGGAGGCTGAATGTATATATGGCCGCAGAGAAGTGCCTGGTGAACTGTATGGGGGCTGTGAGAGATTGTTTCCTTGGACTTTCACAAAACATACATGCATGAATGCATCAAGCAAATTCTCTGAACTTCTTTGTGATGGGTTAAATTTACAGCACAGCCTGGGTAAACTTGCAGCAATGAAATTCTGAAAAGTTGGCTCAGCATGTAGCTTCCTGAAACAAAAGTGCGTAAAGAGGCATAGTCCTGGAGACATTCAATAAAATTGAAAGGATGGTCCAAGGAGATGCACGCAAATTGAGAGACGCTAACGAGCTTGAATTGACATCAACTTGTGTTAAGTCCGTGAGCCAATGATGAATCTACCACTGTGGGGAAGCTTGGCCCAGGGCAGCACGCATTATGCAGCTACGCGTCAACAGTGTTGAGGGATCATGGATGGAATGCCGCAAGCTGTAAGTTTCGGTAAGGTACAGCGAGGATGAGAGTAATGATTAATTCTGACCTGCACTACTGCTTCCACCACTGCCACTGCCCATGCTGCTTTGTCCTCTGTCATTACTGGTGAGTGCCGGCCATGCTGACAATCCCTTCGAAAATGTAAGGTGGGAAAGAGGAGACAAACCCTCAGGAACTGGGGTCTCCATAACACTTGCTTCACTGCCTGTTGTGCAGAGAGTATGAAACTGCCGGAGCAGCTCCAACACAGCGCTTGTCGCCCTCTCCCTTTGTGTATAAACCGGTGAGCACACGTACTGGTCGATCTGCTGCAGAAGAAGCAACAAGAGGTCTGACCTGCTCTTCCCATCATCTCCCCTGCAATGGCTCAGTCATCAGGACCCAGTGCTCAGCCTCAATATATGTGTACCCTGCAATGCCCCCCGGCTAGGAGTCGAAGTGGAAAAGTCAACATCAGACATTTCCCAGTGTTGGCCCAGGAAGAAAGCTCCAAAAGACTGTAGCAACGCTTGCAGATTTCAACATCCAGCAAATCTCAAACAGATAGGCAGGCCCAACATCAGAAGAGCCCACAACCAAACTTTGCAGCCACGCCATGCGAAACAGCAAAAATGTTGCACAGGGTTTTTTCAGAATGTGATAAGGAGCAATACCTCTGTTGGAGTTGCACAAAACGGATGAGGAAAGACTAACAACATAGAAGTCAACAGGCAGCAAAAAAAAAAAAAAAAAGAACACGGTCTAGGGGGGAGAGCTAGAAAGGGGTGTTAGGACGTTGGAGAGGGTAGGTTACCCCTATAAGGGTTGAAGAGCGAATGCAAGGAGGAGAGGAATAGAAGTATTGACGGTTGTTGGTGGTTTGGATTTTATCATCCGAGTGGCTGCGCTTAGCTGTGAGATTTGCAGCCTGAGAGGCTGCTAGAATGACCTCCCTCGCACCTTCTCCCTAGGGCCCATCTGCTGTGCGACTGGGTTCTGCCAGTAAGCTTCCCGGCCAGATGAAGCCCCCTAGGAAGTCAATGGTTTGGGAGAGGTTGGTTCGCAGCAGCCCCCCCCTTGAGTAGGTGACTCGTACCACAAGGGTTGGGATGACTTTTTTCCAATTCTGTTTTTCGGTACTTTTTCCTTGGTACTCATGCTTGCCGGTGATAAGCAACCGGACTGACGCTAGCCAGAATAGAAGGGGCTTTAAAAAAAAAAAGAAAAAAAAAAAGAAAGAATGCTTTTACTCCCTAATCCTCCATGGTATCATCCTCATCTGTCGTCTTCCTCCCCCAACCTCGTTTTTTTTTTTTTTTTTTTTTTTTTTTTTTTTTTTTTTTTTAACCTCGTTATTATAATTTCCTTCCATCTGCCACTATGTTTCCATCTGCTTGAACTCCCTAAACCCTCAATGACATCATCCTCAGCTGTCTTCTTTTTTCTAATAAAAGGAAAAATTACAGCTGTCTTCTCCTCATAAGGGGGACAGCTGCATTTTTTACTTACCCTATTTTCTTCTCTCTTTTTTACCTCCCTCTAGCTACTTGTATCCATACCTCATCTTATACCTTACCCGCAAGCCCTACCGAGCTCGCAACGAATCACAGACACCATTTTCTTCTCTCTTTTTCACCTCCCTCTAGCTACTTGTATCCATACCTCATCTTATACCTTACCCGCAAGCCCTACCGAGCTCACAACGAATCACAGACACCACCAATGTGAGGAAGTAGGGACGGAGCTTCAATTTACTAGCTAGAGCTAAGCCAAGCTATCCTAAGGTTATGGGTCTACGCCTATCTATCTCTGCTCTGAGTGGGGAGCAGTACCAAGGCTCCTAACACCTGGCGCGGGCTGGAAAGAACTGATTACTTCCACAACCAGCCAGGAGGCCCAAGCCTCATCCTCATCTCTCTTCTTCCTTCCCGAACCTTGTTATTATCATTTCCTTCAATATGCCACTATGTTTCCACCTTGTCTTCTTCATTCATGCCCTTCGTCCCCATTTTTTCTTCGTTGTTCTCCTCAGATTCCTCCTCCTTGTGGTCTTCTAGACTTCTCCTCCTCCACCCAGTTAAACTTGCTATAACAAATCCTTTCCTGTTTAATATTTCTAACCTCTAAAACCCACTCCTGCACCCTACCCTGAGAAAGGATCTCTGGATACAAAAGAACCATGGATTGGGTGCGGGAAACAACATCATCCGTGACTGCTATGGTGCTTTCATCTTAGCTTGCTGCAAAGACCTCGGTGTCCCCGTCCTCGAGAGCAGACTAGGACCTATCTCACTCTCAGGCTGTGTAGTAGAGGAGAAACGGGCAATGCAATAGATCAAACCCTCTGCAGTCTAGACGAGAACAAGGGCAATTCGATAGATCAAACCGTCGGCAGTCACAGGGACCTTTCACTACCTGATCAGTGCCCGAATTTATATCCGTTGTTTGGTGTTCCATTCGCAAAAAAGATTACGAAGCTACCAGTGTCTTTTAAGAACAGGAACATGCATCATCTTGTTGTAGCCTCGCTCCACGTCGATGTGATGCCCATGCAACTGTAAGGACTACATTATTTGACAGTTTCAGTAAGCCTTCTGGATCTTCAGCTAACACTGGCTACTGTAGTCTACCCTTCCTGAGATAGCATGCAGTAGTTAGCTGGAGTTGACGAGGGGTGTTACAAAAGGTAGCAGACCTCCAAAACACATCTTCAGGGTGTACGAGGCTAGCACCAAACAGGGGAGGACTGGAGGAAGACAAAGAAGTTGTAGGCTATGGGATCAGTCCAGAAGAAGATGGCTCTGACGAGTTTCTGTAGCCTGCGGGTCAACTACAAGCTGTGGCCCTTTACAACGGCCAAAGATGGGGGTAACATGTCAAGAGGGTGGTTATCGATATTTAGTACATATCAAGTTTAAACTTCAAACCAATGACAAAAGCACATTCATCAACGTGGCCTTCGACTGACTTCTTAATATTCAAACATGGTTTACTGAACTTTATTCCAAAGCAAGGGTCTAGCACGCAAGCCAAGCCACCAAAGTGTCTACAACACACTTGCGCACTTGCACACTTCCTCTCGTTACGGCAGAAGGAACGCTGAACAACATCAATTGCGGATTGACCATCAGGTAAGCCTCGTGACACAGCACTGATTGCTCTTGCAATGCTCACAACTGAGTGATAAGTAAGGCATACTCTTGTGAGAGGAGAGGAAGGAGAGACCACATTGTTGAAACTAGACAGTAGAAAGACATGTATGCTAGGTAAAAAAGTGCCTGCTGAGCTGCAAAAGAAACAGACAGCATGTGCTCTGCAATAAGCAAGCTCAAAAAACTTGTGCTGGACAGGAAACCCATATGCACGAAGAACCCTACACCTCCCGTACACTTTCCAAGCAGAAGACCGACGATGCCTTAGATAAACGTACCCTGTTCGAAGAAGTGCTTTGAGAAGCATTTTCAGATTCTCTGTTAAGGCCATCACAACTCCAGAAGGCTCGATTTGAAGGGTGAAAAAATGAATGGTTGCCTGCAGGGACAAAAACATATCCTTTATGACAGTTTATGTTAATAACAAATCAACCTTGTCATTTCTAGGACATTGAAGTTGCTCACTGCGACGGGGGGGAATGTCAAGAAGCCGAAGAGAGGCGAAAAGCGAAAGAAGAAAAAACAGGGGAAAAACAACATCCAGCAACAGAAGACTGGCGAAAGCCAGGAAAAGACGGGCGGCACCCACAGGTTTCAATTCATTTATCCAACAAGGACAAGAATGTCTTTCCAACCCTCAATTCATTCATCCTACGAAGCAGGGCTGTAAACCCGGTCCCACCGGGGGGTCCACCCCCAACCAGAACCGGGCCGGTGGGACCGGCCGGTGCACCGGGCCGGTTGCCCTCCGGTTGGCTATAGCGCATAGGCGAATACTGGCCGAATCAATTTTTTTTGGGGCCAGGAGGCCCCCCCACGGGTTGTGGGGCTGTTACATACTCCAATGAGTATGGGCAGAACCAAGAATCAACCAATATAGGATGAGTATTTATGCAGTGGAAGTCTGATAACGAACTGACTCACATAGACTGACTCACATAGACTGACCTACATGGCATCACTCCACACACATACAATCATGAGATGGTGGGGTCTGGGTCATGCATAGAAGATACCCAGATCCCGTACACACATGCACAGATGAAAGGTGGGAGGAGAGACGAAGGAGGTAGGAGGTAGATCACACCGATAGGTCACAAGATAGGGTCCGGTAGGTCTCCGAAGTAGTAGTCCAAAATGTCATACAACAAGATCAAAATGTCGAGGACCAAAGGTCACCAATGTCGGAGATAACCGAGTCCAGATGTAACCGGTGTCCAACTGTGATGCAGCCGAGTATCAACCTCAACAATCTCCAAGTCTCCAATCAGGTAAGTACCACAGTCTCATATCACCGAAGTCCAACTCTGATCTCTGTCCAACTGGATAGTCTCCAATCTGAAGAAGAAGAAGAAGAAGAAGAAGAAGATGAAGAAGAAGAAGGAGGAGAAGAAGAGGAGAGAGAGAGAGAGAGAGGACTGGCGAGGGAGAGGAGGAGAGATCCTCCAAGCTCCCAGTACCTCAGGCGGCAATGGCCGCCGTGCTGGTTCAGTCGCCCTGCCGCTGCTCCGCTCGCTGCTGCGCTAATCTGCGCTATGCTGCGCTCCTGCTTCAGCCCCTGCGCTATGTTTAGCGCATCAAAACAGCGCTCTGGCGCTGACCATACCGTACCGGTATAGTGCCGGTAGGTCGATGCCTCTACTGAGGCAGGTACCGGTACTTATACCGGTAGGCCATGGTCTGGCCTCAATGCTGCGAGGCCAGGCCAGACCCTGGACCGTCCAGATGGACGGTTCAGCCTCCATCGGCGGGTGGCAGCCTCAAGAGCGCCGCCAGGCCCAAACAAAGTGTCGTTTGGGCCTACCCGCTGGGCTGAGTGCAAAATCAGGCCTTTAGGGCCTGTGACCCTCAAAGGTCGGGCCTTTAGGCCCTGGTGTGTCCCTCCGGCCCTAAGTCGGGTCCGGTAGGACCCGTGTGACTCGAAGATGTAACAGGGGCCCTCCTGGCCCTAAAAAAAATCGAAACAGGTCCAGTAGGGCAGCCTCCAAGTCTCAAAAAGGGCTGCCTCTCTGGACCGCTGATCTCGAAAGATCGGAGGCCCAGATGAGGCCTCCCTTTTCGAAACTTGGAGCTGTCATTCCCTCCCGCCTACGACTTCCCGCCTCCCCCTGACTCACCAGCCGTCCTGTCGACAAGCCAATGCCCCCGCTGTCGTCGCCCATCGCCATCGCCATCGTCATCGTTGTCGTCAAGCCAGCCCCCCCGCCTGCCCGCGCGCCACAGGTACGTTTACTTCTTCTTCTTCTTCTTCTTCTTCTTCTCCTTATGTTGTGTGGAAGTGTAGGCGCGCGGTACACACACACACACACACACACACACAGTGAGAGAGAGAGAGAGAGAGAGAGAGAGAGAGAGAGAGCATAGGAAGCCAGCATCGGGGAGATCTCGGTGCCAGCCGAACCCCCCACCCCCCCAAAAAAAATTCTCTGTTCAAAGTTTTCTCACCGGATTCGGGGAGATCTCGGCGAGCGCAGTCCAACCATGTTTTCAAAAAAAAAAAAAAAAAAAACATTTGGGCCCAACTGGAATTCCGGTTGGACCACCTGGGGTCCAACCGGCCCGGTTGGGACCAGTCCGGTCCAACCGGCCGGTTGACGACACAGCCCTGCTACGAAGTCAAAAATGTCTTTGCAGTCTGAAGGGTGATAAAAAAAATTGTCATTCTGGTCTTTGCAAGATGAATTGAAGTCTGGAAACTTGTGAGGAGTTCCTTGGCCGTCACACTAGCAATCAGCTAAGATGTACTCTGCAATGAAGCAGAATATCAATGCCTCATACTCTTCCAAAATCAAGGCCTAGTGGACCGATTCCGTTACTTGGGTGCCTGACAAGTTCTGATAAGCTTCTGCTTACCAATGCGGCATCTCATAATATGGTGCTAATCAATGAATACCAGCTGAGTTGATATGACGCTTACAAATGCACATATATCGAAGAGTGCATCCCATGAAAAATGGATTCAGCAAGCAACGCCTGAGCTTAGTGAAAATTCTGAAGATATCATACATAGTAGAAGGGCCAGATGTTGGAGGTTCAGTTCAGAGAAATGGTATCAGTATTTGTTTTTCTGTCCCTTTAGCCAGCCGAGCACTAAATAGGAACAAGGGAAAAAACCAAACTGAAGGCATGGACAGAAACAGAATAGGCAAAAGGATACGTGTCCAGAAAGATACGGTGGACAAGCATGAGCAAAACTTCACCTGCAGTAGGCGGTCTCTCATTGAGTTTGACAGCTTGGGCTGAACAGACACCAATGTGGTGCAAGCACTCAATGCTATTCTCTGAAAACGAGTGTGAAAAGAGCACATGCAAAATTTGAAGTCAGGACAGAAACAAAGGGAAGGCCATATACAAAACGGCAGCTGTGTAAGCTCTCACATTTTAGATTGTAAGATCAAATAAACCATACTGTCAGACGGGGGGGAAATCCATGCCTACTGTACCAACTGGCCTAGCTCAGGTGGTAACTTGGTACACCCCTGAACTGTTGGAATACGACCCGAGTTTTAACTCCACTGGAAGCAGGAAAATGAAATACTACAATTCTGAATTACATTGGGCCAGTCAGTTCGATGATGATATCTCAAGGCCGTTGCCCCCCTTTTTTTTCTTTTTTTTATCCATACGTAGTACGTACTCTCAAAATTGTTCCCTACACATGAATGACAATAGAGTTGAATAGACCCATAACAAGTCGCACATCACAAACTCATAACACAACAGAGAGCGGATGGAGAGAACCACCAAGCCAGCAAACATATGGGAGAAGAGCACCAATATCAACTGCCCCAACTGTGAGGAGCACAAACGTTAACTGCCCCGGCTGTAACATAGGCTATATATTACGCCCACAGGATTGCAGAATAGATGGAACAACAAAAGAACAGGAGAAAGAAAGTAATCTCAAGAGCTGGCCAAGGCATGGGGGTGCCTTAAAACCACTAGTACCTTTGACGGTTGGGAAAATAGGGAAAACTGGCAGTTTTCCCAAACTCCTTAAAAGTTGGGGGTTGGGCCCAACGACGGCCGCCCGCCGTTGATAAATCTCATCAGCTGCCAGCGTTTCGTTTCGGCATCCTAAAAGATCGGAGGCCCACTCGAGGCTCCCTATTTTCCCAACCGTCAAATTTGGTGAACCCTGCTCACTATGGTCAAAGTCTGTCGGATACGTTGAAGCACACTAATAACGCCTGCTAGTTCTTTCCCGCGATTCTCTCCTGACCCGAAATAGCTGCACAAGCACCCTCACACAGCCACCTCAAGTACCAACTTTCCTCAAAACAGGATTACTACTAAGTCAAATCCATGCACCAGTTAACAACTTACCTCAAGAATACAAAAGGATTTTCCCCATGGCCACTGTTCTGGCCCCAATCTTTAACCTGACATGGTTTGGCTGTTAGGTGCCTAGGAAAAGAAAGACCGTGATGCAGCCCTCTGAAAACTGGCTCAAATGCAAGGATCGGCAGGAACTGGCTCATTCATTGCTCCCCTTCACAGGGTCCCTTGACCATAACGAAGGGAAGCATTGAGTGAGTTCGTGATGTAAGGGACACTGAACCTGGTTTCCAGCTTTTAATAAAAGGCAATTTTTCCTCAAAAAAAAAAGGGAAAGTGGGCTCAACTTCCTTCCATGCAGAAAAAAACTATATGAGCTACAAGGGTTTCGCCTTGGGCCCTGATACCTTGTCAGAAAGCTTAGGCTCACCTGTGTGTTAAGGAACTCAATATCAGTAGGATTTGTCTGCGGGTATGGCTGGCTAGGACTTGTTCCAGACATGAACATCATTACATGATTCAGCATCTCATCCCTTCGCCGAAGCTGAAACGCAACTCCATATCTTGCAGCCTTAATTACAGCCTTGCCTGCATCCACATGCCCCTCTCTCCCCCCTCCCCCCCCCACCCCCACCACCCTCCCAACCCCGTCCGAACCCCAGCCAAACGCCCATCTGAGTACCAAGCCACACACTTGCACAAAACGTCTACAAAACAAGGATGAGTACATAATTCATCAAAATGCATAATCAATCACCAGACACCCCATGTGATTTCCTGTTTCCAATTGGCCGCTAGCATCACATAATCCCGAGAGACTGGGATCCATTGTCCAGAATTGGTAAACTTACGGACTCAATACAGGACCAGATGCCCCATGTGAGACCATGTTTCTCATGGACCATCCACATCACAGAGTGCCTAGAGACTAGGGTCCAATCATCAATGATTGGGATTTCGCGGGGTACATTTTGTGTTTATGTTCTTAGTCTTGCTGGCGCTACCAAGAGGCCTTGGCATGACAAAACAACTATGTGGAGATGGGAAATGGACAATACAATTCCCGAACTCAATGTGCACAACAGCTATCCTTTACCACTACCTCCAGTACTTGATCTATCTCTTGCACCCTCAGTCAGCCACCCTTGCCTGCACTTAGGTTTTGGTTCGGTTCTGCCTCCCCTTGTTGTTGGGCCAGATGGGGGGCAAAAGCGCAGTCCATTCGAGAATGATTACTGGGACAGTGTCAGTCATCTTATGTCCCAACCGTGGATGATCCCAGTCAGGAGACGTTCTCTGACATGGGTGGCCCATCCTTGCCAGATTATGCACCCCGCTGGGGGCAGTGGGGCAAGTACCCCTACAGCGGACCCGCTTTAAGAGGCAATGGTGCATCCTCCTTTTCGGCATGTTTTCACTTTCACCACCCCCCCCCCACCCTGCCCCACTTCTGGGGTTCGAGGGGAGGTGATCAACAACCCTGTAACATTTGGATTGTTTCTATTCATTTGCTATCAGATTATCAATTTTAACAGAGAAGTTCAGGATCTTCAGATATGATGATATATATCGTCACAAATAGAACTGCCCAGTAAACCGTAGGCAGAGAGAGAGAAGAGGACAACAAACGAGGGGCTGTGACAAACTGTTTCGTCGG